CCATCACTGCAGGAGAGCATTGAGGTGCTGGAGTCTGCCCAGAGCAGCACAGTGGGGCTGGGGCAAGTAAATTGTTTATTGGCATGAGGTAGGGTGGTCTGTGACAGGAGGGAGGACAGAGTCAAATGCTGTGGGTTTGGTTTTCTCATGATGGTTTATTTCTTTGGAATCTAAGATTCTCTTCAGTGTCTTATCTAGCTTCCAATTCACATTAATTGCTGTGTCTGAGTGGGCATGAATCTGACAGACTGACCATGAGATCTGAACACAAACACCACTAATCAATGTCTGAATCTTAACAGCATTAATCAAATGCTGGGGTCAACCCTGTTCCCATCAGCATGCTCACGTTGTGGTGCTGATAATTCTGAGAATTTGGGACCCATCACTGCAGGAGAGGCTTTGAGGTGCTGGAGTGTGCCCAGTGTTCAACCTGGAGACAAAAAAGCTGAGAGGGATCTTATTGCTCCCTCCCAAGTGACAGGATGGCAGGAAATGTTYAGATTGGATATTAGGAAAAATGTCTTCACCAAAATTGGCATTGGAATGGGCTGCCCAGGTGGAGTCACCATCCCTGGAGATCTTTAAAGATGTGGATGTGGGCTTGGTTTAGTGGTGGATTCAGCAGTGCTGGATTAACAGTGGGACGTGATGCTCTAAGAGGTCTTTTCCAAGGTAAATAATTCTGTAGTTCTGTGATTTTAGATCTTCATCATTGTCAATACTAGCTATAAACATAATTTAAATAAGAAACTTTCGGATGTGTACAATGGGCAGAATTGCAAGCTGTATTGATTATGGTCTCACACTTATATTAGAAATAATTGTCTAAAGAATTATTTGAGTAATAAAACTGATGTGGTATAAAACTGTATTGCTTGAAAAAAATGAGCCTGGTTTAATTTAAATGAGATCATACTTTAGCTCTTTATTAATAGATATCATTGTGTATGCATATTCTTGTTTCTTCAAGGAAAGATTTTATGTTTTGAATAAAGTTAAAAGCAAAATGACGAATATAAAGGGATGGCAGTGTCTCATATTGACAGATACCCATCTCTGCACCGATAATGCAGAAAACAAAAAAAAGATTCTTGTAAAATAGTGTTTTAATTTTAACAGGGATTATTCTGAAGCTACTTAGAGCTTTTCAGATTCTGTGGGAAAACTATCAGACAGTGGGTGATTATACATATTACATTGCTGATTTTAAGATCTGCATGGCCCTTTTTTTCCCCTGTGATTAAAGTGCAGTTGTTTTCCACAGCCACAGTCTTCCTGGAGTTTTGGAAAAGAAGGAGAGCTGTATTAACCTATGACTGGGACCTCATAGACTGGGAAGATGAGGAGGTAAGAAGTCAAAAATACATAAAGTTTGTTATCAGCATGATTAAAGTCTCAGTATCAATCCATATTGTGTGTCAATCATCTGAGTTTGTCACTCAGATCATATTKGTTTTTGTAGCTCTGGTTGCAGAATTAAAAGGTATGTTTGAGACTGTGCAAGGATATTTTGCCTTTTGAAACTAACATTGGAATTCCGAACATAATTCTACATTTATTAAAAGTATCCTTTGGAAAACTGAGAGGAAATTCTTCCCATACAGAGGACAGGAGCTATTTCTGATGTCAGCACAGTTCCATGGTTTCTTGGTCTGGAAATTCCTGATCCTGCATAAAAATAGGACCAAAACAAGCAACAGGACAGAAACTAGATTTTTGTATCCTTCTGAGAGGCATAGCTTATCCTTGAACAATCCACTAGCAGCATCAGCAATAAAATAAAATGTTATTATTCCATAAATCACTAGGCAACGTAGCTGTAAATTAACTATGTTGGTGATTTAATTGCAGTTTAACTCARTAGGCTTCACTTGTTTTACAGCTTTCCACAGATTGGTAGATAGAAGCTGGTGGTTTTTAATAAATTCTCTCATGACATAAAAAGCACCATTATAACTGGCCCTAATTTATAGTTTTCTTATCAAATTCTGTAGAAGATCTAGAGTCTAAGCAATATGAGCCATGATTCTTTTTAACACATAGTGGGGAAGACTCCTGTGGTTTCTGTTCTTTGCTTCCAAGGATTTAGGTATTTGAGTAGAARCATTATAAAAATYACTWGTAACARTATAATTTTCTACTGTATTGCYYRTGTCTGTCTGATTCTTGAGAAAAAKAARTAATGMAACAAATGGAATCCTCCCTGTCGTTGCAGGAAGAGCTGCGTCCCCAGTTTGAAGCTAAATATTCCCAAGTGGAAAGAGTAAATCCCATCACAGGAAAACCTGAACCCTTCCAGCCTTTCCCTGACAAGCTCAGTCGACTGATGGTGTCTGTCTCAGGAATATTCTTCATGGTGATGTTTCATARTATTAAAATTATTGTATTGTAATTCATCTTTTTCTGTTGTAAATAATAACTTGTCATGAGTGCATTCATTARGATTAGTGGATTTACATAATATAGGCAAAACTGATTGTCTCAGTCTTGCTGCTTGTTCAGGGATCTCTTTTTTTCTCTAGTTCTAAAATAGTTACATAGTTCTATTGAGAAGAAAATAGTTGGAAAATAGTTCTATTAAGAAGAGTAAAAGAACAGTAAAGAAATGTTTTAAGTTACCTGGTTTTGGTTTTTTTTTCTCTCAAATTCCTCTCTCCAAACCAAAAAATAGCAATTTTTTTTTCTTCTTTTTTTTTTTAGGGTTTTTTTTTTAAAGTCTTATGAATCTGGTTTTATTATTTCAGTGGCTATTATTTCAGATGTGATTTCTTTTCTGCATCCTGTAGATTTCCCTGGTCCTCACTGCAGTGTTTGCAGTGGTGGTGTATCGCCTGGTAGCCATGGAGCAGTTTGCTTCTTTCAAGTGGTATTTCATCAAGAAGTATTGGCAGTTTGCAACGTCTGGCACTGGAGTCTGTATCAATTTTATGATCATCATGTCACTCAATGTTGTAAGTCTTCTGTTCTTCTAAAGGGGCAATTAATTTAAAATAGTGATTTTTGCAAACTTGCTGAATTAATGGTGTATTAGGTAGATACATGTTCATGTACAGTGTCTGARGCTGCTATTTCAGTGGATTTTTCTCCTCTGATGCAGTGTTTTTCAATGTTTTTTTCTAATACCTCCTTAATTTTTTGCACATCTTTGCTTATGTCACCATATTACAGGGGTGCAGATCGCTGCTTTTTGAATTTGCATTTTTTAAATATTACCTTCTGCAATAGATTTCTAAATTGAACTACATATTTTTTTGGCTGAGATTTTGCTTTCTAGGTCGTTTTTAATTACTGTCTTTGGATTCTTCCCTTTCTTATTTAAAATGCAGCTGTGACATCAGTGTTGCACAGTCCTAAAATCACTGTGATCCATGATTTTGGTCAAAGTTTTTTCTGTCATGAAACAGCACAGGTTTAATAATTTCCTGTTGTAGCACTACAAGGATAGAAAGTCTGTTTTTTCAGCTGCAATATTATTTATCATCTTCCTATTCACATGTAAGCACAAACAGATAAAAAGGAATAATAACCCAGCAAACATTGGCTTTTAATTCTTTTAAGGAGATTGTGCCCTCCATACAATAAGAAATAATTCTTACATTTATTTCTGTTGTTATTAATATTTCTGTTATTATATATGATCAAATCATATATAATCATATACATGATTCCAAGTCAAAAAAGTACATTCAAGTGAACAAGCAAAGCTGTTAAAAATAACTTGTTATTTTTGGTACACTCAAGGAAATATATTTCAGAGTTGGCAAGTGTTATTTCAAGTGTCATTTAAAATAAAGACTGGAGACAGTCAATATATGGAGAGATAAGGAARTTTTCAGTAGAAGGYTGATATCYTCAACCAATATCCATATTCATGCAAAGGAAAACTGTACTTGTCAAGGTTTTTGGCTGGTTTTTGGTTGCATAAATCTGTTGAAATTAGAGGATAAACCTCTAACTGTTGATTAGGGAAACAGTTGATGTCTGAATATTTTCCTTGATCTATTTGCTTTTTTTTAATCTTTATTGTATATTTAATGTAGATTTATACAGATTTATAGATTTATAGATTTATGCTTATTTTTAGATTTTTAGATTTATATAGATTTATGCTTATATACATTTACATGGATAAAGAGAATGGGACTGRTTCAATGAAATCTTTATAGGAAATTATGCAATTACACAGCTACTGCATCACTCTCCCTTATCTGCCCAGATTCCTTGATTCTGTAGAGAAATAGAATAGCACACTTTTGCTGCTTGTTTTCATTCTGGATTTTCATCACAACAGCCAGGATGTGCTGTAYTTACACCAGCTCATTTCTGTTTCAGGTGTATGAAAAGGTTGCCTATCTCCTGACAGAYTTAGGTATGTAAATCTTGACTAATGGTGTGGTTCTTGCTGCCTTTTTTATCTTCTTTTTATGCCTTCATTCCATAAAGAAACTTCCATGAAAACTTCAACTAGGAAAACATTTCTGGCATTTCCCTGAGCAAGTGAGAAATATCACAGAAAGAAAAAAAATCATGATTTCATTGAGGAAATAATATAAAACTAAGAAATTTATTCTTCTGCTCTTAAGGTTTTGCTGATRATGTTTCAATAGATTTTGCTCCACTGATTCCAAGTGCTTTTGGCTTTTTTGGGGAGATTGGGATTGTTTGTTTTGTTGGTTGGTTTGGGTTTTGTTTGTTTGTTTTGGGCTTTTTTGTTGTTGTTGTTGTTGGTTTTTTGTGGGGTTTTTGTGTTGATTTTTTTCCTTTGAATCAAGATATCTTTAAGATAAAAAATTGACACTGGTTTCTGCTTTTTTTTTTCCATGGGAGGGAGACAGTTATCTTCCCACAGTATTGTGATTTATTCTAAACCAAGGAGCTTCTATCTTTTATTTCCACATAGAAACAGCACAGTCTGAGCTGGAGCAATGAAATCAATTGCAACCTGACTTTAAACCATTGCWTGTTTTGTTAGTGTTGATTGATTTGTGAGCAAACTTTCACATAACTCCATTCCATTCTTGTTTATATAATGTATATTGTGTCTTTCTGAAGAGCATCCTAGAACAGAATCTGAGTGGGAAAACAGCTTTGCCTTGAAAATGTTCCTCTTCCAGTTTGTCAATTTGAACAGCTCCATCTTCTACATTGCCTTTTTTCTTGGCAGGTAAGTTACCTTTGCCAGTTGTTCTTAAAGGAAAACTTGCACAAAACTGAAAATCCTCATTATTTTCATAAGTTTGAAGAAAATGCAGTGACAGTTTGAACTGTAAGGTTTAGGTGCGAGTTGATTTCTGGGAATATTTAAAATACTAAATACTTTTAACTGTATGGACCCTTGAAATGGAACCCTTTTACCCATGAAACTAGAGAGTAAAAATTCTGCTTTTTTATGGGTGTCTGTATGACTTTCCTACTAAATAAGAATTCAGARCTTCTGAAAACACAGCCAGTTCCTTAATGGGGATCTGTATTTAGTCCTGTGCCAATAGGATTTTTTGTTTTTCTTGTTCATTCCCCTTGAGTTGCATTTCCAAGAATGTATKTCTGTAAATAGTAAATATTGTCTGGCAAATCCTATACAAGACTAGGAAGCAGAAATTCTGGCTCTAAGTATCTTTAGCTTAGAGCATGAGATAAGAATACAGATCTAACCATCATCTTCATTTCAACAATGCTGCAGAACCTACAGAACATTTCAGACCATCTTCTATAAAGTTCTATTGTGTAATTTCAGTTCAAGRTGGTTTGGAAAAAACTAACTAAAACAAGCAAAGAAACAAAAAATTATCACGTTGGTGATAATCTGTTTGTTACATTTGGTGGAGTGCTCACCATAGAGTGTTAAAATTTCTTTGTGTCTTGCTCTTGCTGTATTTAATAGGACCAGGCATGGGTTTCTTTCTCTCTTTTATAATTTTCACTGAGGTCACAAAGGATTGTGATTCAATTTATTAAACAAATCAAGTGTACACTTCACATGGGGAAGCAGATTTCCGTGCTGCAGTTAATTCCTATTGTTGTAATGGCTTGCTTATCTTCTTAGAAGTAGATTAGAGTTTGAATATCTAACATGTAAAATCTCTGCAGCTAGGGTTTTTGTTCAGGACATAATAAAAGTTTAGGATGAGTTGCAAAATGATGGTCCTTGTTTGCATTCTCAAACTTCCATATCCTATGAGTATGAGATTTAAGCCTGCTGTAATTTATTGTGTTGGTATTTCCTGAATTTATTCAGTGMATGTTGTGAAACAACTGCTGATACAGGGGTGTTCCTGGAATGTCCACTGAGGACAGAAATCTTGTTTTCCAGATTTGCAGGSCGCCCAGGAAAGTACAACAAGCTTTTTAACAGATGGAGGCTGGAGGAGGTAAGCAATCCTGCTTTATGCTTCTCTGACGTTTCCATGAGTGAAAAAGGAAATAATAATAATAAAAATAAATAATAATAATAATAGTAATTATTATTATTATTGTGAAACATTGGGACAGATTACCTAGAGAGGTGGTAGATGTCCTGTCCCTGGCAACGTTCAAGGTCAGGTTGGATGGGACTCATCCAACTGAAAGTGTTCATATTTATTACAGGACTGTGGACTAGATCATCTTAAAGGGTCCTTTCAAACCCAAATTAATCTCTAATTTTATTTCACAAAAGAAGAAAAACGATATTTTCAAAATTTAGCTTGAATGTTAGAATTGCAACTCACCAGTGTGCTGAAGTTCCCTTTTTTTCTCTCTGAAAAACAGATTTCTTCTATGAAAACTTGGTAGCCACAGAATAAAACATCCACSATCTGAAATGGTTCTGTAATTACTTAATATTTTAACCTGGCAGTCTCTGATTGATATACTAGAAATTCTGGTTGTAAGCCTCTCTTTAGACTTAAATTATTGCAAATGAAATATTGCTCTATTCTTTTGAAATGAGTAAGTATTTATTGGTCTAAGTGAAATAATCTGTATCATTTATCATATATCTAGCACACAAACCTTTAACTTAGGCAATATGATCTAATACATAACAGTATGTATAAAGATTGTTCAATTTAAAATCTGTTCATTAATATTCCTGCAGATGGAGCTTGATGTTTTTCACCACACATATTTAACATTTTTTATTTACCCTCTGAATAAATAAAAAGAAAAGAATCCTCTAATTTTAGCTGTTGATCTTTTCCCCTCTATTTCAGTGTCACCCTAGTGGCTGCTTGATAGATCTCTGCTTGCAAATGGGAGTTATTATGGTTTTAAAACAAATGTGGAACAACTTCATGGAGCTAGGCTACCCGTAAGTTCAGATGYTAAAGTTCATTTTAAAAATAATAAATACATGCTAGCATGATCCAGTGATAGGGAGTAATTGGGTTATGTTTGGGGAATGTTTCTACTTGTTGAATCTCACAGATTATCACTTCATTCCCAAGGAAATGATTAACTGCTGYTCTAAGATAAAGCTTCTCAGGGTATGTTAAACATCTAAATTGTTTATTTTGATTTCATTTCCCATAATACAAACAGAGGTCTTCAGCCTCTGAAGAGAYTAATGAGCTAAGAGTCTTACACTTCTCTTGAAACTGGAAGAATATGTTTTCAGTAAAAGGTTGATCATCAAATATTGTTTTAATTGAAGTCTCAACCTTGAATTATGTTAGAAAGGGTTTGCTCACAGCGTGCATATTCTGAAAAGCTTATCTGTACAATGCCAAACATGCTACAGGAAAGACAGAATTAAAATAATAATGCAGAATTTTGAGATCTTTTATAAGTTCTTTGCATTGAATCTTAGATGATGTTGTAGAAATTTCCATAAAATACTTAATTTCATCCAGGTGCTATTCAAGATAGGTCCATTTGCTTCAAAACAGTATCAGTAAATATTTGAAATCTCTGAGCAGGCATAATCAGTAACACTCTTTTTATTTAATAAAGTTTATTACAGAATTGGTGGTCACGACGCAAAATGAAGAGAAGAGGGCAATCAATGGAGAATAAAATTTCTCTACCTCAGTGGGAAAAAGATTGGAATCTGCAACCAATGAATCTCCATGGTTTAATGGACGAATATTTAGAGATGGGTGAGCAAATTTGGAGGTGTTGGTTTTCTTCAGAAAGCAGAACTACGTTGCATGTGGAAAAGAATTTTGAATTTTCTGAATTTCCTATTTCTAACCACAGAAATGCCTGTCTAGTTTTGCAGTTTGGCTTTACCACCATCTTTGTGGCTGCCTTCCCACTGGCACCTCTCCTGGCACTGCTCAACAATATCATAGAAATCAGATTAGATGCTTACAAGTTTGTCACTCAGTGGAGAAGACCTATGCCTGCAAGAGCAACAGATATAGGTGAGAGAAATGAATTCTCTTTATATTTTCCTCTTTAAAACAGCTTAACCCCTGAAGTGTTTCATGTGTCAAGGTGATAAAGGGACCAGCACATCCTCAGTGACAAAAGGATGATTTGTTGTTTTGCTAGGGTGATTCCTCAGATTTGTTTTCCATTTATAATAAGGAATCATGATAGTTTGAATATTGAAAACAGGCTAAAAGTACTTCAGGCATCTGGTTTGTGGAACTCTAGGTCTAAAATCAATCTAGTTTAGAAATTAAATTAAAAGGCTCAATTGACTTCTGATTTAGAATAAAATTAAATAAGAAATCTGTTTTTCCAGAATCTCCATTTTGGCCCTTATAACCAAAAATCATGGTTGCTTAGCTGTATCTTCTCAGCAGGGTGTGCCCTGTTGTAAGATTTCACTGGGGTGGCACTGGTGGTGGCTGCAATGTGGGGACACGGTTTAATCTTAGTTTTTCTGTCTCATAATTCATTCTCAATAAGAAAGGAAAAACGTGTGACTAATAATGACTTTGTTATCACTTTATATGACTTAATATGACTATRAAAAGCTGACAGTTTGTTGTCATTTCTCTTGTTTTTAGGTATTTGGTATGGAATTCTGGAAGGAATTGGAGTTCTGGCTGTCATCACCAATGCCTTTGTCATTGCCATTACTTCTGATTACATTCCACGTTTTGTCTATGCATACAAATACGGTCCCTGCACAGACCAAGGGTACAGRCAAGAGAAGTAATTAAGATATTCTTTATATATCCATTTATTTTTCAGCAATCCTGAAGATTCCGATTGTAAAACAATTCCTTAAATCTTCTTTGACTTTCAGATGTGCTTTAGTTAAGTTACAAGACAGATTCCGAAGAAGATGGGATATCTTATGTGTTTGTGGTTTGCAAGCAGCAGTAAAAATTCACTCCTGCAGTCATAAATCAATATATTTATATGATTTTTGCAGTTAATAGTAATAAATCATAGCCTTTAATATGACTGGTATATGCATTGTTCATTTTACTGTTGATGAAAACTCTTCAGCTGATAAAACCTGTTATTTTTTGGTAGAGGCTGCATTATTGGTGGCAGATTTTATAAGGGTGTTATTCTGCTCTCTGCCTCTCTATCCATCTTTCAGTAATTTTAGGAAATTGCCAAAGTTCAGTAATTTTAAGAAACAGCGAGAAACAATTCTTGGTTTATGTCTCCCAGTAGATAGAAGCAAACCCATTAAAAGTGCTGAAAATAGACTTTTAAGCAGTGTTATACCTGCAACAGATGTCAGTCTTTTCTTTCCAATAAACTTTGCTTCTCTGCATGAAATTTTAAAATTGCTTTTGTCCCGATATAAATCAAATATAAAACATTATGCTGACAGTATCTGGTGGCAGGATATGTTTGCATACAGGATGTTTATTGTGTAACCATTTCATGAAGAAATTGCTGCCCATATGTTTTTTTTTTTCTTTCAGATGCCTAAAAGGATATGTCAACAGCAGTTTATCAGTCTTTGATTTGAGTGAACTTGGGATGGGATACTCAGGATACTGTCGGTATGTTTTGATGCTCTTCCTTATAAAAGATTTTATGGACATTAATGCAGACAGTAAATTGAAAGTGCTTAAATTGCTGGCAGAATAATTTAATTTTTGCCCATAAAAGCATTGGAGTTGATGTTTGTTCAGCACGGAAGCCTCAGTGTGTGGTGGGACACACTGCTACCATATTAGAAACCTGTATTTGGAATTTTTGCAGGACTCCTGCAAACCATTATCTTCCATGTCTCTATGAATTTTTCATTTTAAAAGTTTCACCAGCTGTCAAGAAGGATAAAAATCCTCAATTTCCATTTTGTTAAGYATTCTGAAGTCAATTAATTAAAATTCACAATTATTGCTCTAACCCAGGTTGAGATTGCAAACAATTATGCAGATGAATACCAGAAATTCAGCATAAAAATGAAATATGGCATGAGTGCAGTCCTGTTTTCAGACTTGTTTTGCAGTGAGCATTAGCTTAAATGAGAATCATATTTCATTTATGCCAGCTTTGTCTGGAGAATCTCAAATGCTTATAAGCAAAGACAAGAACCAATTTAGAGCCAGCACACTTAACAATAAGAAAACCTGTTTGTAACAATAAAAGAAACTGTTTGCACTGGATTTTTGAAAGCAAGAAGCACTGCCTCGTAAACAGCTCTGTTTTATAGTGTGTGTTCTGGACAGTTGCTCTCCCTTTCTGTTTTAATTGCTCTTGAAATYTGCTTTCACTTTCATTTGGGGTGATCTGGAGACCACTTGGCCATGTTTAGGTTTTGGAGCMCAGGCTCTCACAGGTTTCTCTTTGCTTTGCAGGTACAGAGACTACAGAGCCCCTCCATGGAGTTCAACCCCCTATGAATTCACACTGCAGTTCTGGCACGTGCTGGCAGCAAGGCTGGCCTTCATTATAGTGTTTGAGGTCAGTTATGGGAAGGAAAAATCCCTTTCTACCTCTTGAAAGTTTGAGGAGTCTTTCCATAGTCCTGTCTAAATTGTCATTTAATCAATTGTTTCTTCATTGCAGTCAAGGGAAGGGAAAAAAAATTGTCCTCCACAGGCTGTTGTCTGTCAGAATTGGCAGAGCAGCACTAAAATCATATTTCCTTAACAGTCATCTTATAAATCATGTTACCTACCCAATCTTTCATATTTTATTGACAAAGTAGAAATGCAAATTTTGTTACATTAGGCATAGTTATTTCAARATCAAATCTGTGCAGGAAAATGATTCTAGCCTAATATAAAAGTAGAAATGAATACGCTACGTTTGAAGGATGTCTTGCATTCTACCCAGGAATTTGGTTCCCTATTTCTGTTACAAGCCCTGAACAAAGACTGCTTGTGGGTAGTGTTTGCATTTGTTAATCAAACTAGCATATCCTGTACTGTATCACAGATTCTTTTAAGTCATCAACTATACCCTTTGTTTTATKTTTTAGAAAACTTCAGCATAAGCCCATTTCTTTTAGATCATTCATTTACTCCCATATAAGTGTTTTTATTAAAAACAAAACAAAAAACCAAAACAAAAAAAAAAACTATCAGTCACAAATTGAATCTCAGTTCTAGTTTTGCTTCAGGCTTTTAGGCTCTGAAATGTTGTCCTTTATAATCAATATTTTAAACATTTGTTTTTGTTCTTCTTTTCAGCACCTTGTTTTTGGAATAAAGTCTTTCATTGCCTACCTAATTCCAGACATACCCAAAGACTTGTGTGACAGAATGAGAAGAGAGAAATATTTAGTCCAAGAAATGATGTATGAGGCTGAACTGGAACATTTGCAGAGAGAAAGGAAAAAGAACGGGAAACAATATCACCACGAATGGCCTTAGTCACTACTACAAGTTTTGCTACAACAAAAAACACTGTTTGAAATTGGGGAARAGTTGCAAAATGAAGTCAGTGTGGCACCAGTGTGGGAGATTTTGTGGTGTTTATCTGTTCTTGCTGGGCACTACGGCTGCGTATTTCGGCAGGCACTGGAAAAGAGATGTTTCCAACAATGATGAGGAAAAGCCTTACCTGAAACTGGTGGGTGATGAGCTCCAAGGACAGTTGGAATTCAGAAATGGGTGCAGGCAGATTGAAAATCTGGACACTGTTTTTAAAAAAGGCAGTGAATTTTCATGCTGTTCGTGAAGATGCTGTCGGCATGGTGAAAACAGGAAATTACCTGTGAGCCTATAGAGTAAGGGCATGGCTAAAACCAACTTTTGTGATATCCTCTACTTCTACAGCTTCTGATTGCTCAGCTCCATCTGTAATGCCTCTAAAGAAAAGAGCAGTTGTTGCCTTTGTGGCCATAACTTGATCTTTCAGGCTTACTGTTTTGTCAGGTTTGYCCTAGTCTCTTGTTGAGATTGTGGATGTGGTCCTACCCTAAAAAAAAAAAGGGGTCTGTGGCTGCTAAATATATACTATGCAGTTTAAGATTTGCACATCAGTGTCATTAATTTATCCATCGAGTTGAAAACCAAAAAATCCAAATTCAGAAAGAAAACAGCAGCACTGGAATGCTGTTGCCCATGTTGTAGTTCTGTTTGAAAATGACACAGCTGTTGAGTCGTTTTTCCACTTTTTTTGTGTGGAAAGGCCATCTCCACACTCTTCCAGGATGGAAAAACTGTCATTTTCATGCTGACTGTGTTACTGTTCCTCTTGACCTGTCTGGGCAATGATTCCATGAAATGCTAACTTGAAATAGTCCCATGCAGTGCACATGACTTGCTCTTCAAAAACACAATTATATCTTTGCAGTATGCAAGCTTCTGCAGATAAATATGAGACATGCAGTATAATGCTGTGGCTTGCTTGTTCAGGGAAGGAGAAGAGCAATATATAACAATGTTCTTCTTGTCATAATTGTAAATGTTCCACTAATGTACATTTCTTTTATTGGCCTAAATATGTCATAATTTTGGAGTTGGATACAGGCAAATATGTATACAGGTTGTATATAAATGCATACACACACGGTGGTTAGATTTACTATTATTATTATTATTATTATTATTATTATTATTATTTGTATGCCTTCTTACACTTTGGGGGGGATTTTTTCGATAAAATCACTAAAAAGATAGATGTTCATTGAGGAATCAAATTTGAGTTTTTATGTGCAAACAGCATACTGCAGTGTTGCTTCTGTTKAATAGTCACATTTTGGTGATGAAATTGTTTGTTACTAATTTTCGTAATATGGAAAAAGCACTTTTAAACAAGTTGGAAGGGATACTTYGCAGGGAAGGGAAGGAGAAACAGTTATAGTTCTGTTTCTCTTGTACAATTTTAAATAAYGCTTCTCTATATTGGATGAGAAAAATTTTAAAAATCAAGAATCAGCAAAGCACAGTAACTACAAAATCTGAATTTTAGCATTATTTTTAGGGATAAAGCTGCAGCAAAATCRCTYCTGACAGATACTAAAAGACCTGAACTTTTGCTATTTACATTATCCTATTGAACTAAAAAGTGTGATTCCAGTATTCACTTCCATTTACGAAGCACAACAAATTTATTTTATTTTATCATAATTAATTTTCAAGAGTCAGGAGCCCATCAAAGTGGGTGAATAGCATCTGTTGTATCCAGAGACTTTTCAGTTCATCAGTTATTTCACCATATTCATGAAATTTCTGGGTTAATTCCAGCTCTGTGCTAGACAGGGCAATTGTAGGAGTGTTTACACTGCTGCATGAAAGGAGGAGACAAATTTGAAGATCTGGTCCAGTCAGATACATTACCCATTCCTTCTGTGATAAAGGGCTGATGGAACTCAGCTTGCCATATTTTGGAAAGGCTGTTTGGTTCCTTTGCATTTCGGGTTGTGAAGTTCCTCAGGAGAAGATTGGTGCACTCTGCTCAGTGCCAGTAGAATCACAAAGTTTGATTTAATTCATTGTCTCTGTCTCATTCTGTGGATTGTGAGGCACCATTTGGCAGCATTAACCCTGTGCCACAGTTTTTGTTTCTGTGCCATGTAGTGATCATGCTTCAGTTCTTCAGAAGGTCACAGATGAGCTCTTTTTAATGTGTTCTCGAAAAGCAAAACGTCTTGGCTGGCCCAAGGTAGAAAGATGCAGGGTAAAACCAGGCAAAAATCAGAAATATTGATTATTTTATACTTGTTTTCTGCTCTTGGTATTGACACATGTCAATACATACTTAGGCAAATTCCAATTGGACTTGAAACACCACATTAAAAAATCTTTTTATATTGGAGATTTCCCTATATATATTACGAATTCTTTTCAACACTGATATGTAGGAGTACATGAAAGGCAAGTATGTAAATCTGGCATAGACAGATACGGTGAATTTTATGCACARGAAAAGCACAAGAAGTTTGGAGAAACACTCTCTGTGTGTTTTTTGCTTTTGGAGGACATCAGCAACATCTCAAGGTCTTGCCACTGTCTCRCCATTTGCTTAAGCTGAGAAACCTTTTTGCTGGACTTTGCTTAGTATGCTGTTTTCATGGACTGCACGTTAYTTTCCTAAAGAACAAGGCACACACTGTCCTCAGGAATAATGTATTTTTTGAATGGTGAATGATCTTTTCATATTCTAAATATTGTCTTTTCCAACAGATGAYTAGTATGACTAGACTGTGCATGCAGGCTGAGTTTGTGACGTTTGATAAAGCTTTAGAATCTCAATTTCTGTGCAAAAATGCTTTAGATCGTTGCAGATCTAATCTATGACAACTTTGCTCTATGCATGCGCCCTTGGAGAGACTGCATGAGCAACTYGATATTTTTATATATAAAGCATTTGTTAAAAATGTCTTAATTATTCTTAACCAAATTCTGCATCTTGAATTCAGACAAAAGAAATTTCCATTTCAGAAATGGCACAAAGTCCTGATACGTGATACACACCTCATTTCTTATGAATTTTTATTCTAAATTTCTGCCTAATGTGTGAGATCTGAATTTTGGTGAATAAAAAAAAAAGGAAAATATGAATTTTGTCTTGTTGGCCATCCTGATGAGARGTTTGTCTCCAAGTTTGTCCCCACAAAGAGGGAGGACAAGGGGATGGAGGGCACCCTCAGTGAGTTTTCAGACCATGCTGGGTGGGAGTGTGGCTGTGCTGGAGGCAGGAAGGCTCTGCAGAGGGATCTGGCCAGGCTGGATCAGGGGGTCAGTGGTGCAAATTCTGGTTCCGCACTCAGCCATGACAATCCCAGGCTGCAGTCAGAGTTCTGGAAAGCTCCAGGGGAAAAGGACCCAGGGGTGCTGGTCCCACACCTCGAGAGCTGTGTCCAGTTTGGGTTCTCAGCTGCAGAGAAGGGCAGGGGAGCTGCTGAGGGATCCACACTGCTCAGGGCACACCAGGAGCTGATGACAAAATGAGAGGACAAACCCTCAGGCTGCACATGTTATACAGCAGGAAGAATTTTTTCACTGAAAGCTTTGGAACAGACTGCCCTGGGAGGTGCTGGAGTCATCATCCCTGGAAGTGGTGGAGAAACGACAGGACGTGGCACTTAGGGCTGGGATTTGTTTGTCATGATGCTTGCTCAAAGACTGGAACTGATAATCTTTTCCAACATGAATGATTCATTTCTTTCCTAACCCATTTTTGTAAAGCATTTATAAATAAATGGCGACAAGGCTAAAATTTTGGCAGTGATGGCGGATGATAAATGAATTTTTGTTTTTAGATGTTTCTTTGGAAGTACATATCCTCAGTAGTACAAAATACACATCAGCTGTGGCCTTGTACCAGACAGATTATTTTGCCTAATTATGTGTTTGTTTCAAAATTCAGCATGAATTATCAACTAGGAGGCATAATCATCATTAAATGTTGGTTTATTTTCTTAATTGCATAAAAGTGGATCTTTTTGAGCTGAAAACCAACACAGAGCTACCCTGAATTCAAAGTAAAATTTGTTACTCTCTCCTATAACGTTTACAATAAGGAGTTATAAAGAAAACTTGAGTTTCATAGAGGGAGCAAACGCATTTATCTCGGTGTCTGAAAGACCCCTCTGGTCCACAAGGATTCTGTGAGGGGATTTTTTGTGTAGGCTCAGCCTGCTTCTCTAAAGGCTGAATTAATCTCAAATTCACCTTTGCACATTTCCCTTCAACCATGAGTTACTGAACAGAGCAAGTGATGCAGCTGTGTCAAGAGTGGGAGCTTCCACAACAAAATTCAAGCAACATTTCTTCCCAAATAGCAATTCTGCCAAAACCCCATTGTCCAAAACCCCAGGCCTGCCAAGAAAACCATAAATAAAAACCTGGCCTTTCTTGCTATAGAGAGCAATTGTTCCCTCTTGGTCACCTACAAGTWAATGCAATAAAAAAAGTTCKGAATTTCTGAAGCTGGAGAACTAAATTTTGATTGAATGTCCGTTGTCCCTCAGCTTCTAGAGGCGAGTTTCTCTGCTCAGGTTTGTGTAGGAATTTTCCTCAGGATTGTAACCAGGGATCTGGTGAGGATTTCCTTTGCTGATRTTATCTGTCCTGGTTTTATTTGCAGCAGCTTTAGGCAGCTTTTTCTCCAGGTCCATCTGAAAAAAAAAACCCCAAAAAAGTAAAAGAAAGAAAACACTCTTGTGGTTTGAAGCTGTATTTACAGCCTTTTCCCTTTGATTAAAGGAAAATTGTGGAAACACTGAGAAGATAAGTTTTTGTGTTTTTTTGATGAACTGCAAAGCCTGGAGAGAGGAGGTGGAGGTGGGAAGGGGCAGCTCAGGTGTTCTGGGGGCAGCTTGGGGAACTGTGAGTTCTGAAATCCTTTCCTCTGAGCTCAGGGGAAGGATGAGGTGAACTCTCAAGGGTGTAAAGGGCATTTTTGTCCCCACTCAGGAGCAGGGAGGGCAGCGAGAGGGAGCTCAGAACCATTTCATGAGCTCCTGGCTTTGTTTGTCCTCTCAAAGCGCGAGTCCCTACGTTTGATACAAACAGGAAAAATAAATAAGTGACTTATTCCTGAGTGGGTCTGGCTGATCTCACTTGCCCAAATTGAAGAGCATCTGCTGATATTAATGAGGTTGGTGATGATTTCTCTGCTCAGCACCACATATCCTGTGGGTCCATGCTGCTGTCAGGTTCTCACCTCCAGGCTGTCGTGCTGCACGCCGCACCACAGGAGGATTTTCAGCCTTTGGGACCAAAAGCAGAACAGGTTGCAGAYTGGTTTAATCAGCACTGGTGGGATGTCTTCTCCTTTGTTAGGTCCTGAAGAAAGGAAATGGGGAAAAAAGAAAATAATGTGAGTCTGTGGATGGCTGTGCGTGAACCATGAGGTGGGGGAGCAGGATCAGCGCCTGCTGCTCTGTTCTGAGTGTGTCTCGGGTCATCTGCTGGACTTTTTGGAACATTTCTCCTTAAAAAAGGAAAAGCCYGGTTTTGTATAGAACACCCACCTGTGAGGAAGCTGATGAGCAGCCCCGTGAGGGCACAGCACACGCAGCCCACGGCGCTGAAATACAGGTAGGACAGCGAGTACCAGGCGTCTGCCAGCCAAGGCCTGCCCGGGGGACAAAAATAAATATATATATATATATATATATATATATATTCACCTCACTGAGGAAAACATGGGCTAAAATGGCAAAAGCAGGAGAATACCTGTGTGGGGGCAGCGTGGGAGGCGCCGTGGGCAGCAGAGCGGTGCTGTTGGTGATGCTGCAGTTGAGAGTGGCCAGCGGCAGCGGCAGCGCCTTGGCCGGGGGAGAGGGGAACAGGAATGAACCCGTGCCAGCCCAGAATGCCACACTGAGCCCGGCCAGGAGACCTGACACTGCACCCTGGAGAGAGGGATGAATGCGTTWTAGGGCTGGATTTCATTATTGRTTATTGGTTATTGATTATTGATCATTGATTATTGATTATTGATCATTATTATTCATTATTGGTTATTGATTATTATCGATATTGGTTATGGATTAATAGTTCTTTATTAGTAATTATTAATTATTAGTAATTTGTTGTTTATTATTCATTATTATTTTATATGAGTATTGATCATTATTGTTATTATTTATTGGTTRTTGATTATTGTATTGTTATTGATCAATAATTATTATCTGTAATTATTAATTATTGTATTTATAATTCATTATTTATTATTATTTATTTTAATATTAAAATAGAATAAATATAGCATATGATATAATATAATAATTATAAGGAAAATATAAAATATTACCTTAAAATAATATGATATAATATGGTACTATATAGTATGATATAATATGGTATAATTAATATAATATAACGTAATGCAATGTAATATAATATAATATAATATAATATAATATAATATAATATAAATTATATTTTATACTATATACTATATTATTATACTATAATATAACAACATGTCATATAACATAACATCATATCATATCATGTCATATCATACTATATCATATCATGTCATGTCATACCATATCATGTCATGTCATGTCATGTCATGTCATGTCATATCATATCATATCATATCATGTCATATCATATCATATCATATAACATAATATAATACAGTATAATATATTAATATATATTACTAATATACATTATACACATATTATGCTATTATATATAATATTAAAGTAAAAACTCCATGTTATATGTGATAGTACTATAAATATATAGTGAAAATATACTACAAATACATAGTAAAAACTATCACATCCCAAGGATAATGAAAGTATTGAATATTTTCTTCTTAATRAAACTCAAAAACAAAAATAATTTTCAAGAAAACCCTCACATGAACCTAATCACCAATTATCCACAGCTGGGTAAACTTAAATTTAACAGGATAAATTTAGACAGGGAAAAGACACATCTAAATCTATCTTAGATCCTCAGGAACTAAATCTGGAAAGAAAAAACCCAAACCATTTTCAAAATGGAGTTTTAACCAAAAAAWAACTTCTTTTAGGTGAGGATTTTTGTTCCTTACCTTCCAGTTGGCACAGGGAAACAGAATTCCCAGGGTGAATAACCCCAGCATGGGCCCCCCACACATCCCGTGGATGGAGAGAGATGCCTGTGGGTGCACAGAAGGAAAGTTCAGAGGGGCAGCAGAGGGGCAGCAAACCCAATTTTCATTTTAATCTGTAATTTCAGCTTGAAAATGGTGATGGAGAAGGGATAAGCAGTGATTTCAGGGCACAGGTAAGGAGAGAATCATCCTCAGTATTTCCAGCAGTGAGTAAATAATGAACGAGTTAGGGGATTTATGATTTTTTTTTTCCCTACTTATTCCTCTCAGCAAAATGCCCACAGAAATTATTTTCAGCAGCATTATTTTCTCTTTTTTTTTTTCATTTTTTTTCTCTTCATTCCTGTTGTGTTTATTGCATTTCTGAAGCAAGAAATACCTGCACGACTCCTCCCAGCAGCGAGGCTGCTGCAGCCATGGAAGTGCACAGGACACCGTATAAAACACCTGGAAAAGATCAGGTTCAGTGCTGGAGGAATTTCTTATCATAAATAAACATTTTTATTGCATGTTTAGAGTGGATTATTAATGTACTCAGCAGTGTGAAGTCTCATTGGGTTGATTCATTTTCCTTAAAAAGTCAAAACAGTAACAATGAAATTAATTTCATTTCATTAATTAATTATAAAGTTCTGCCCCGTATGGAAATGTTTAGTTTTCCTTTAAATATAATTTTTTAATGAGGTGAGAAATGATGAGCAGCATGGATTTCTTCCTTTGGCATCAGTTTTAATTTCATGGTGGGTGGAACTCTCTATGCAGCAGCCTTGGGAAAAGCCAAGCAAAATTTGTGTTGTTTCAGGCATAAAAAATGGACCTTTCTAGGTCCAGGGTGTAAAAAAACCAAGCAGTGAATGGAAAAACAAGAATGGAGAAGACCAAAAGCTGTTACAGAATGAGAAAATGCATGGGTTTGGCTCTTCTGTAATATTTATGAATATTAATACAATTCTTATGGTATTTTTACGGTATTTATGAAAGGGTTATGATCTTATCATAATAATTGTAACAAATATCCTTAAAATTAAAATAATGTTGGGTGCTTGATATGTTGATGATATTTTATGGGGCTTTTTACCTTTTGTGGCGTATATCTTCTCTGAAAAGCTGAACAATGTGCTTATGTAACACTCTGAGTTTAAACAGAAATTAATCTATTACTCTGAAAGAATAAGCAATACTAATGTGTATAAGCAATATTAATGTGGTAATAACTACATCAATACTTTTTGCTGTGTTATGAAAAGTGTTTTCCAATATTTTCAATAGACTAAACTTTTCCAAGGATTGTGAGTAGTGGTTGTTAATGTTTTTTTCCACATTACTGAAGCATCAGGCTGATGTTCACCTCGAGAGTTTATAAAGGGTTTAATTCCTGTGGAGTTTTCCAAAGGTTTGAGGGAATCTGTGCAGTGATAAATAAATGGATCCCATCCTGAGTACCCACACAAAGCTTTGCTGATCCACGTGCTCATCTTCTCCGAGAGATTTGGGAAACCTTTCTTGACCAGGTCCTCAAAGGTAACAGTKGCTAAAGCATTGATGCTGGCAGCCACCGTGCTGTGGGAAGGGAGAAGAGTGGGAAATAAATAAAAAGAAATATAATCTGCAATCAGCTTGACTTTATAAAGAAATGCTTCCTCTTATTCAGCTCTTCAAGAACTGTGTTTTGTGGGATTTTCCATATTGTGCTGCTCGAACTGGGGAGGTTCCTGTTCCTTCTGCTCTTGTTGAGGCTCTGCTTTGTGCTGGCTTGGGACAAGAGAGAAACTCATCCTCGCTGACCCTCCCATGTGCAAGTTTGCAAAGTCCTTAAATATTGACATGATCAAGAATTAAAACTTTACTCCCTTAAAATGGAAGGATGTGCAGTCACCCATGAACGGCCCCATGAACAAAGCCTGTCTTTGGTGAATGCAGTTACAGACAGACTTGCTGAAAACATTTACACCCCTGACTATGAAATTGTGGCAGTTAAGTAAAGAAAATTTCACCAGGAGCAGCTCCCAAGGGTATTTTGGGAAGTTGAACTCAAGTTTTTCTACGCTTTGTATGGATAACATTGCTCTAAAAGCTGTTTTGGATAAAAAGATACTGGAGATGKGCAGTTAGACTTTGTCATAAATACARTCAGAGATTAATTTAGRTTGRAAAAGACCTCAAAGATCATAGAGTCCAACTGCTAACCCAGCACRGTCAAATCCACCACTAAACCAAGTTTCCAAGTGCCACATCCACGTGATTCTAAGCATACAACATGATTCAATACAGAACTAAAAATAAATAAAGAAAAAAAGCAGCTGAGCTTTTCTTAGKATTGCAAATTTTGGCCTTCTTTTGGGTTCCCAAGAAATGATCCTACACAGAAATGTCAATTTGGGTTCACAGACCTTAATGTTCCGCTGAATGCACAGGCAACAAACAGCCCTGGGACTCCTGGCATCGAGGAAAAAATGTCCATGACAAAGTATGGCATGAGCTGGGAGAGAAAGAGCACAAGAGAAACATGAGAAATTAATCAAAATTAATTAAAATTAATTAAAATTAAGAGTTTCCTGGGTAGTGCAAGAGAAGCAGCTGTTTATGAGCATGTTGCTGAATTCTGGTGTTGTCACAAATAATGTGGTGTCAGATTTTGAGCAAAAGGGATGTCTTTTGGCAAAAATGCTCCTTTTACAAAATGAACAAAAAAATAAATCAAATCAAAAACTGGGTTATTACTGCAGAACTGCCAGAATATTTATTGTAGCCCTGAGCTGGCAGCCACCACAGTGCCTGAGTGTTGAAAGGACATGAAGAATTTCACAAAATTTAAACTGATTTGTGCYATATCTGAGCCCAAAGCAGCTCCTAATTGTCATCATGGACATCTGTACCTGATCAGGAGCTGAAATGAAACCAGCAGTCCAAGGGTCACAGCTCTTGTAATGAGAGTACATCACCAATCCACAAAAAACTGCACACACCAGGACTGTCCAAAGTCCCAACAAATTCAGGTAAAGTGCCCTGCAGCAAAAGAGAGAAACTGTTCACTGGAAGGCAAATGAAAAAGTTGTTACAAGATATTTATCCTGAGCTTTTCAGGGAGATCCCTTAATCCCAGCTGGTTTTATATTTCAAAGTGGTTATAGAAGTTGAAGCAAAATATAAAAAAAAAAAGAAAAGAAAAGAAAATTACACCATCCTCTGTATGTCTATATGGTGAAAATTCACTTTGTTCTATTTTGATCCTGATTATCCTGATTCTGCAGAATTTTAAGAAACTATTAAGATTCATTTTATTTAGATAATACCTTACTAAATCAATAACCACTTTTAAATGCAGCGTAACGTGAACACAGTTCCAATAAATACATTTTTACAATGAAGATGTATCATAACACAACTTCTGGAATCTGGAATCTGCTTTTGAGGATTAATTTATCAGCCTGACCATAAATTGAGACAGGYAGCTGCCTCTTTTTTCTCTACATATGCTTAAGTCATTTTGAGCCAGAGGAAGAATGTCAGAGCAAAATTAAACTTATTACCACCTAATGGGGTACGAATATTTATTTAATATAGCTGAAAAAGTTGATGAAATGCAACATCAGCATGTTTGATGTTAGGAATGGGTCAATGGAGGTGTCTTACAGCTTGGCATGCCTCTCTGACTTGCAGGAAATGCATCTCTGTATGGTGGACTGGTTGACCCCATAAATCCCCAGCCAGGTGAAGGTTCCCCCAATAACGATGGTCCAGATGGTGTGACGTCTCAAAGGATCAGCATCAAAGCTGCAAGAAAGAAAATAAAAAAATAAGCAATTTAGGGTTTTTATTTAAACTTTTTTTTTTTTTTTTCAGCAAGAGATATGTGATTTTTTCAGAACTATCTGTTGTGTCCCACCATCTGCATCGGTAATACTGTGTGTCAGCACAGACCTATTTAGGTCTGGAATTTTGGGATTTTTTTTTTTTACTGTTAGATTGGAATACACTGTTTTCAAGTCAGGATAAACAAATACCATTCAGATCCAGTCAGAGGATGGCTTAATTGAGGTTAATCATATTTATAAGGATGTTTATGCTCAGATATCAGATCTTTGCCATATTGCAGCAGACCTATAAGCCATCCTGCCTGAGACCCCACCCTTTGTCAGGAAAAAGGTCGCTTACCAAACCCTAAAAAATCCAGTGAACTCTCAATAACACATCATTATGATGTAAATTCCTTTAGAAGAAATTGCCTCAGCTGCAGTCTTATCTTTCRTACAACAAAACTCCAAAACTCAGCAGATCTGACTGGTACAAAAACACCTTTCTGTGTCATCTTTGCAGTTCTCCTTATCTTTAAGGGACAGCAGGGAACATCTGACCTTGCTGCTGGATTCTGTCAGTGATTTGATCAATCAAAAAATGCCCCAAACAGCCAAAGGAGGAGCAGATTTAAACCCCAGGATGCTGCTGCACTATTGTTGGCTGCTGTGGTGCACACAAATAAAATATAGTTTCTGTTTAATGAGAAGAAAATGAAATATATATACAATTTATATATACAATTAGCCACTCAGATTGGCTCATGTGGTGAGAACATGGTGCTGATGGCATCGAGGTTTCATGTTTGATCCCTGTATGGGCCATTTACTTGATTCTTGTGGATCCCTTCCAACTCARAATATTCTGTGTTTGAAACTGGAAGGAAGAATTGGGCTGCATTTGTAGCCACACAAAGAAAAAATGGCAAACCCCCAGTTCAGTTCAGCAGGACTTTGATTTCTCAAAGTGTTTAAGCTTTCCTTGAGGTCAAAAGCATTGCCAATAAGAAGAAATGAGGAATGGACCGGACAGGGTCGCCGAGGTTTTTTAATAACAAGTCTGAGTAGTTTTGGCTTAGTGAGGGTAGGGTTTCTAAACAATAAATACACAAAAAAAGAAAGGTTTGCATCATTTTTTTCTTACTCAAATATATTGAGCCGTGATCCTCCATGGGCATCTTCCCAGACTTTGGTGGATCCACCGTTCAGGCTCGTTCCTCGRATCAAAACCGTCACAAACCCGGCCACCATGACAACCATTTGAAATGCATCTGTCCAGACAACAGCCTTTAACCCTCCCTGAAACAATAAAAAAAAAAATGCTGTGTGCCCCCAGCCTCGTCTCCTGGTGCTCAACAATTGAAAAATGTAGAAGGACTCCTTATTTTGACCACTGTATGTGCAGCACCTAACAAATCAGGACTCTGCATTCTCCCACAAATTGTGTATTTTTGCAGATCACAAAAAAAATCACAGCCTAAATAGTTTGTCCACTGKCAAAGGAGAATATTTGACTTCCAGTTAAATGCTTTTTTTCTGCCTCCTTGGGCATTTGAAGAACATATCATAGTGTGGAACAAAAGCTATGGGGGTTCAGGCCTGTTCCTACATCCCATAGGACTCTTCATTYTCAGATCCCATTGGTTCACCATTAGCCTAACACAAAAACAGCTCCAGAAATTCCAGCTGGATTTGCCATTCAGCTTTCTTCATATCTACTTCCACATTTGATCAAATGTAGAGCACACAGGAAGTGTTTTCAACAAGAGTGAAGTGTTTCATTGAAAAAAAATCATTGGTGGCAAATGATTAGTTTGTGTCCTGAGCCCCAGGGCTCTGTTGCTCCACTGCAAATATCAATAAAATTTATCTATTTTGCAACTTGGAGCCTCATGCTGCTTCCACTCAAAAGTAAAGCTCTCCAACCTGCTGATTGTCCTTTCTAGGTTTCAGCATTTCACCCCTGAGCACAATTTTCATTACTGTGTTTTTCAGCCTATAATTTGTAAAAGATAAGGATCACCTTCTCAGARGAWGATGGGGAAATTTATTGCCTCCTTATCTGTCTMGAGATGTCTGGTTCAGACYTTSAGACAYACAGCAGAGGATTAAGAGAGGATTTTTTCTCYCTCCAAATAGACACAGAGGGTGRAAGAAATTTATCTCTGTGCTCTCCMCGGGTTCCACCCTTCTCTGATGGTCTGAAATGTTTAAAGGATGGTGGAATTAACCACTTGTGCTCCAAATGTTACATACCAGAGTGCAATAGAAAGTGCAGACAATTCCTGTGGCAGCTACAGAGCCCCAGAGATCAAATCCAGTGACTGCAAAACCAAAAAAAAACCCAATATCATTAGTGAATGGAGGCAAGTAATCAGGAAGGCAGCAGAAAAGCTACAATTCTTTAGCTTTAGAAGGATAGGAATAATTATTAATTTTCATTTTATCTGTCTATTTGGAGCTTTGCTGGATTGTTCAAGTTTTTTAGAACTTCTGGGCAATGTTTTGCATTGTTGTTTTCTTTTAAATTCAAATTAATTGACTTTCAAGCAAAAGTAACACATAAGAATATTTGCATAAAGCAAAAATGTAATTCTGATGGCACACAGCTTAATAAGCAATGCTTCACTTGTGTTCTCAGTACAAAACTTTCTCTTGAGAAACCAAATTCTCCACAGATTCCCAAAGAATCCTAAGACAAAAAAAAGAACCCCAACCCCTAAGAAAATTCCATTGCTTGCTTCTAAGAATGACTCAGTGCTAAAATGTGATTCATGAAAACAAATTTTTGTGTTCATTTTGCTTCGTAAAGTTTCTTTGCACGAGATGTGCAGATTTTGTGYTGGCTGACAGTGAAATCTCACCCACCAGGCATGGGTCTGTGAGGTCAAAACTATTGGGTAAAGGTTCTCTTATTAACAAAATTAGTGTGGTAATTAATGTAATTAATGAATAATGAATGAGAACTTTCCCATGGAGTTCAGCTGCGTGCCAGAGGAAGGAAGTTTGGTGGGATTGAACAAACTGAATGCAGCTCACACAATGAGCAACAAAAAGAGCCTCCCAATCTCTTCCCAGTCAGTTTTGGTGAAGTCAGGATTTTGAGCCATGATGATTTCTTGTGCCCTGTGGCAGTAAAATCACAAATCCCATCTGTGGTGATGGATTTCTATGCCCAGTTTGCAAATATTGAAGAATTCTGAGGGCAGACAGCAGCACAGCGTTCATCTCTGGCTACGGGGAGAAGATTTATGCTCATGGAAACCTGAACACAAGAGACAGGRGCAGGGGGAAATCAAAGTACAGAGTGTGGTCTTGGATCATCAGCTCGTACTGTGAACTTTGTCAGGATGTTGGGAAATTGTTTGCTTCAAATCCCTTTGGGTGCTGACTGAGTGGAAAGGGGAGCAGGAGAGAAACCACGAGGCTCCTGCTGATGTTTGGGTGTGAGGGGAGTTGGAAACGTTGAGCTGCAAGGTGAAAGTCAAAATCTTTATCTCTTTTTTTTCATTTCATTGACTGTAGCAATCCTTTTGGGGTGGTTATTTGGGGCAGCACAGGAACTCACCTTGGTTGAGTGCCAGTGATGGAGCATAGACCACTATTCCTGTGTAAAGGATCTGAAGGAGAAAAAGTTCATTAAAAATGACATATTTGAGTGCTCAGTCATGAGGCTTCTATTTAGAGTAGGGCTCTGAGCCAAATACCAGATCTAGGGGCTCCTTTAGACCAGCTTGTATTGCATGTGGCTTTTTGTTTGAGCCTTAAAAATGAAAATCTTGTGTTTCTTTCTGAGGAAAGGACCATTACCTGTCTTCGTATTCATTATTTCTCCATTGCTAAGATGAATCGATGACAAATTATCCTCAGAAAACACAAATAGTGACACAGAAATGGAGTTGCATCAGTCTTAGAAATTAAGTGTTCATTTTTCCATTCAATCCCTTTCAAAGTAACTGACTCAGTACCCTTTACATGTGAGATCCCAGRGAACTCATGGAGAAACAAAGCACAAAAGTCAAGAAGCATTCAGATTCGTTGCCAGAGGTTTGGGAATGCCTAAAATGGAGTTAATGCAGAAAGAAATATCTCCTGATCTTCCATCAAATCCCATCTTTCCATCAAATACAGATAATGGAACCTTTTGAGATGGTCATAACAATGACAACTAAAATGGCACTCTTCATGCTAAACAGAAAAATCCACAGAATTTAGAAAGTTAGAAATGTAATCATACTTTCTTTCTAACATTCATAGTTCAAGTGAAAAAATTAAGCAAAAATAGTACTCATTAAAATATCTGATTATAAAAAACGTGTGAGGCTAGTCTGTGAAAATCAGTGTTGAGTGAAATCAGCATAAAAAAAAAGAGTCAGTGTTTTCTTACCGTCTGCAGGATGTAGATCAGCGTTGCGGCAAGACGGACAATCTTGTTAAATCTTAACTCCAAATACTGGGAAAAAGCAAAATCTCAGTGAAGTGCACAAAGCAGCATCCGTGACACAGATGTTGCCCTTCTGTTTGCCCTGAATAACACCTTGCTGTGCAAATAAACTTACTGGCAGCTGGCCCTGCTCTTGTGAGCAGTAATGAAGAGTGTAAATGTCATAATTGCATTTAATAAATCTTTTCATCTTGTATCATCTTTCATCAACTCCAGCACTTGGAGTTCTGTGTTGGGTTGCAGTGATCGATTTCTGTATGGTACCAGGAATAATTGGAAGAGCCCAAGAGCTTCGAAGAAATCTAAACTTCAGATGAAAGGAAATTAAACTTCAAAAGAAAGGAATGACTGGAAGAACCCAAGAGCTGCAAAGAAATCTAAACTTCAGATGAAAGTTACAGTCATATTCCAATGATACAACGAGGAAATTTGAGCTCATCCCCAGCAGAAATTGCACAGATTCCAGCAGTGACAAAAGTGACATTTGTCTTTCCAGCCTGCTTGAAGGGTCTCTCAGTCTACAGTTTCACCTTGGTGGTTCAGATGACAAAAGTAATTAATTCTCTGATCTTGGATCAAAACCAACTAGAAATTGCAACTATTTGCAGCAATGGTTGATTTTACTTTTCTCTGACCTGGAAATATTTCCAAAAACCCAAAACCCAGGCAGATCTGTTTGACCAAAGCCCTTCCTTGAGTTTGGGCTCAGTGAGCATGAGCAGCCCTTCTAACCCAGTTTCTTCATCCAATTCTTGCTTGGTTGAAACTGCCCAGAGAGGAGCAGCCAAATTTGCAGCAAAAAGTGAGTAAGAGCCATCCCAAATGGTCAGCAGCTGTCCTGTGGATGTGTTCCAGGGCAAATGCCAGGCAAAAAGTCTACAAAATTCAGAACTCAWTAATTTCATTTCCTAGAGAATGCTTGAATTCATTCTCCAGCCCTGASTTTTGTTTTTTTCTTCTTTCCTTTTTATTTTTGGAGCAGGCCTGCCACCTTCTTTCTCTTCCTCCCACCTCAGCTATTTAGACACGGTAACTTGGTCAAAATTACCATATCTAGACTAAGTTTGAATTGGACAGTACTGAATGTTGATCTTAAAGTCCATCTCTCTAAACCAGAGCAGAATACTTAAAGAATTTGTACACACTGAAATATTTTCCAACTGTAACTTAATTTGGTTCTGGTGTGTAAACTTGTATCTTGTCTGTGCATAACAGGAGCTCTTTCAACTTTTGCTATATCAATAACCAATCTGAATAATGCAAATCATTTCCAAAAATAATCAATGCATCAATATATTCGTTCTGTAAAACACTGCAGAACGCATTCTGTCAGACATTAAAATATATATATATATATAAACATGATAGTTAAGCTAGAGTTTTATTTAACTTAATTTTATGGTTTTTACTCACCTCATAAGTGCTGGTGATGCCAGATCTATAAAAGACAGGCAGGAAGAGCTCAGCAGTAAAAATGATGACGAGGGTGTAGGAAAGGAAGAAGAGCACGAAGGATGCCCCGTAGCGATAAACTTCAGAGGGCGTCCCCAGAACCGTCACCGCCGACATGAAACTCGATGTCAGAGAAAAAGCRATGGGTCCACATGTCATCTGCCTGCCCCCCACCAGAAATTCCTTGGAAGTTTTCTTTTTCCTCTCTTTAATGGCAAAAAAGACGCCGATGCTGGCGGAGACCAAAAACAGCGCCGCGAAAACGACGTAGTCCCAGGGCACGAATTTTTTGACTTCTGGAGCTACGAAGTCTGGCATGGCACCAGATCTGAGATTCTCTGCTGGAARATTCTGGTTTTACTCTGACCAGATTAATTCTGCAAAACTGCAGCTTATCTGTAGCTCAACAATGACAAAAAATGAGCTGCGAAAACTCTTCAGCCTGAAGATTTTTTTCCTAGTCCAGTTCAGTTCTGGAATTAAAGAAGGAATTTTTTTCTTTTTTCAGTTAAGGAATGAAAGAAAAGGGAGCTGAGGATGGGTTAAGGATGAATTCACTTAATCCCTGGTGCTGTGGGTGCTTCTGCCAGGCAAGCTCAAGAGAGGGACTAAACTGTGAAATCTGCGGGACAATCCCTTTTTATCTGTGATGTGCAAATTCAAGGTTAAACATTAGCCTGGCACRTTGGCTCCATCCAACTCTTTTCTGACATCTCAGCGTTTTTAAATAATAAAATGAGAGCAATAGAGAACAAAATAAAGGAGGGAGAAATGAAGGAAAGCTCAGTGCACGAACGTGTCGTCTCACTGGTGAGTTTATTTTCGGAGGAGGAATTTCCTCACATGCTTAAAAACTGATTTTGAATGTCAGAAATAGGCTTTGATGGTCGAAGTGTGCTCCTTGGTGGAATCTCCAGAAGTTCAGGAAGCCCTAAGGAACAGGAGCTTTTAATTTTTAAAACTAACCTGGTTTTAGCCCAGCCTTGGTGTGTTTGGAAACTCAATGGATTTCCAGATGARCAGAAGAACAGAAGTGTTGTTTGTGCTGCACTGTCTGAGGATGAATTCCAGTTAGAAACTGATTTTTAACTGATTTCTACCAAAGACAACATCACTTGTATGGGTTTGTGTGAGAAATGACTTTTATTTATCCATGTACAGCTTGGCTAAAGTTACAGAACAAGAGAACCATAAAAAATCAGATTGAACAGCAACATTTATCTCAACTACCTCTTTGGCATAACTTTTATAATTCAGTTATTAGGCTTTCCTTTTGTGTTTCTGTTTCAAACAATTTAATATTCATTTTATCTTCACCAGAGCCATAACGATACATTTTCTGAAGAAGCAGGATAGTTTTTTGAAGAAAATTACTTGTAATCCTGAAGGATCAATTTGTCCAGAGAGGCAGTGTTTGTAGTGGCAGCCCTGAAGGAAGGGTGGAGGGCATACTGTGCAAAAAAATCAAAAGAGAAATGAAGCAACTTGGGAGAGCTTTTAATAGCAGAAGTCAGAACTCCTTTTCTTCAGCCTTGTCTTGGTTGGGGGTGGAAAACACTCTCAAAAAAGCAGCCAGGCATTTTTCTGCTTTTTAGGGCTCTTTTAGCCTTTTTCCCCTCCTTTTTTTTTTTTTTTTTTTTTTTTTTTTTCCTCCTCTCTCACTTATAAAAGTGTGGACATGGATGTTTTTTGCTTGATTTATTTCACACCTTCAGGGTCTTATTAATAAATATCTCTGGCAATGGTGAAAGCTTTGCCATTACAACAGGGAGGTTTTGGGGTCAATTTAATGGTGTTTTTCAATATGAAGTTGAGAAAAATTCATATAAATATGCACTGGAGGATTTAACTCACATTTGATTGGCTAGCTGAAAAAGAAATAATAAGCAGTTTATTGAGGAGAAGTAAATTTCTGGAGCAAAAAAAAAAAGAAAAAAGCACTGAGAACTGTGTCTTCCCGAAATCCTGTTAAACTTAGGGGTTATTATCTTCCCTTGACAGTGGACTTTGGGTTTTCTTCTTTAATGATTACTCTTCCCTCAGAAAGACCTGCTGATTTATCTATGAAAAGATCATCYCAGTCCAGCAGTGTGAGGAGCTGGAGGCATTGCTGAGAATTTCAAAACAAAACCTGGAAGGGCCAGGTCACACCAGGGCACTCTGTGGTCACTGTGGATTTGCACTGAAGGATATAAAGTTTGTGGAATTGCTTGTGAACAAACACTTTGTAAGTGAAAAATGTGTGGTTTATGCTGAGAGTTGGATTTCCTTCTACAAGGACAGCTGGAAAGAGGCACGAGGAGAAACAATCTGGAACACTTTTTGAATAGGCATATTGTCAACATAAGGAAAAAAAAAACAGCTTTAAAATCATATATCAGTCATAATTTACCCTTCCAGAACTGTATTACAGTGGATGGGGGTCCCTCTCTCTCGTTTGGCTGCAGTTTTCTTTTTATTCTTTTTATTCTTKYTATTCTTKYTATTCTTGCTATTCTTKYTATTCTTTWTYTTWWTTMTTTTTATTATTTTTATTCTTTTTATTTTATTTGCTGAACAAGTCAAGGGTTTGTGAAACTTGTGGGGTGGCAGTGGGATGAGCTGTGCATTCAGTGCCCCTCAGCAAAAGACTGAACAAAGCTGCAGCTTTGCATTCCACTCGGTTTTGAAATGGGGCAAAGGCACAGAAAAATAAGGAACTTTATTCCTGAATCAAAAAGCASTTTGGGGAGAGTGTAATAGCAGCTGGGAAGGAAAGAGGGGTTGGGATCTCACTGCAGGTGATTTCAGGATAAAGAAGAACACTCTTTGGGAGAATGAAAAAGTAACGTGTTTAAGTTTCTGTGCCATTAAAACTTTCAGAAACCAATCTGATTTGGTCTTCAATTGTTAATAAGTGGTAGAAATAKCCATTTAATATTATTAAATGCAAAAGGAGCATTTGGAAACAGTCTGGCAGTGATCCCAGGGGCAGAGAGATGATTTGTGCTTGACAGGATTGCTGYTGAGGGTCCGTGCAGAAGGGCTCTGCTGTTCATGAGCAGCTTTATCAACATCCATAGTTAAAATAAAACTGAGAATCACAAACCTCCACTCACCTGGGTGTTACCCCACTAAACATAAAGGAGAAATTCAGGCACTCCCTGACAAATTAAGATGCTTAACACCAAGCAAGTGTGGCATCTTCCCCCACAATACATGGTTCATGCACTCCAATCAACTTGTGTTTCCCCACATCATAAGAAATCCGAATTACAGGAAGACCTTCCTTAGTAGGACTTGGAGATTAATCATCTCTAATCCTTATTGATACTTAATTTTTTTATCACTTTGACTTTCATTCTTAATATACTTCAAAGGGATCTCTTCAACCATTTTTTGCCTACATAATTTCAGTCTCCTTGCAATATATATCTTTATATAGATATAGATCTTTATATAGATATAGATCTTTATATAGATATAAATTTTATACAGATATAGAACTTTATACAGATATAAATCTTCATATATAGATACTTGCAATACATATATTATATAGATACTATGAAATGTAAATGTAACTGTAAACAGGCCATCTCTCCCTTACATTTTTATTCAATGCTGCCTTGATGGGATGAAAASAGAAGTGAAATAAATCTTGCCTGTCCCCTGCAGGCTTGAGAGTAGATCAATTATTTTRCTTCTGTTTYAGGTTCCTTTTAAATCTGTTACAGGGCAAYTGAATAATTCAGGGTAAATCACTCGCTGTTGGTAGCCTGATAACTTTGCTGTGAAAGGATTTTTAACAAGCAGATGAAAGGAATTGTTTTTCAGCATTCTGGCTTTTGCAGCYGATCTCCTTGAACACACCACACCCAGTGCAGAGCAGTAGCTTGCTGAATTTTTGGATAATCCATTTACTACTGTTTGGGTTTTCCCCTGTTTGCGTCAAAGTCTGGGTTTTTCTGTCAGGAGATTTACTGCTTTGGCTTTTTGTTGGATGTTTTCTAACTGGTGTATTTGTTGTTTTATTTTTGGTGCTGTTTTSCCCTGTAACATCTGTGGAACATTAAATTTTGCTTTCTATTTGAAGAGAGAAGGGAAAACAGAAAGGCAGCAGTCTTTTTCAGATTTATTTTTTTGAGCAGGCTTTGTCCATGAGTGAAGTCCTAAAAAAAAGCCTGCACTGCTCTGGATCATCAATTCACTCTTTCACCTTCTWTTTTCTGTAGGAAAGGAAAATAAAAAAGATGAGATTCTGCACTGGAGCTGTTGGAAAGGGAAAATGTGGCTGTGGCTACTCAGCTTTGTGACAGGTAGCCAAAGGTYGCTGTGTCTCCTTGTGCCCCGTGGGGAAACACGTCCAGATCCCACACAMAAATCCAAAAATATTCCTGTCACCACATTCCCCACGCCTTTCCTCAGCTCCATCAGTGAAATTTGACAGGAGTTTGTTGTTATGACCTAAATACTCTTCACAGGCTGTAATCTTTGATTTATAACAAGGGCGAGTTGTAGGACATTTTGTTCTCAAGATGTTATCTAACCTGGTAATTTAATTTAACACCAAGGAGCTCCCACAGGACTATTTCTTCTGAATATTGGCATTAAATATTTGTGAATTTATTTTACAGCACACACAAATCTTTATAATTTTCCTTCCTCCGACATGATTGAGTGGGCACAGCTCCGTGACACAGAAACAGCTGAGAGCTGAAAAGTCTGGAGGAGAAATGAGATAGAAATAATCTGCAAATAATAATAATAATAATAATAATAATAAAGAATTTGGAGCACAGCTATAAAAGAGGCTTGGGCTAATACTGTTTTGAAAACAAGTGGCTTGGAAGGAGTCAGTTTTTCCCCTTTGGAACTGTATTTGCAGTACAGGGTTTGATCTGTTTTTTATATTGATATTTTATATTTGATCAGGTTTTTATATTGATGTAATGGCAGTGTGATTGTACATCTTGCTCAAAAATGAGTAGCAGTGAAAATATTTGTAGAAAGAGCACCACTCTCACCCTTCACTTTCATATTTGCACCACAACGTTGCTAGAGCTGAATAATTTAGAATAAAGATTATATAATTTATTGAGTAAATACATTTTTAATTGGGGTAAAACTCCCATACCAGCATCGTTTTGTAGTTTGTGTTCTAGTGAATATTTTTTTCGGAGAGATACAACAAGCACAAGCTAGGCTATGCTGAAAAATAGGAGGCTGACCAGGTGTTTAAAGAATTTAAAAATTACTGGGTCTTGATGTGGTTTTATTTTCCATTTTGGAAGGTTACTAAGTTTTAGGGCAATTTCACTGGAAAAGACGTGTACAACCTACAATTT